CCACATTTTCCCTCCGAAAAACTCTGAAGTTTCACTGTTGAATTTGTCAAGTTTATTATAGCTCCTGCAATCTCAATCCCTTCCATAATCCAGGCTTATTCTGGCATTTGAAGCTGCTGTAGCTAAGCCAGACTCTTTGACCTGGTTTTGCAATTTGTTCAACAATCCTGACTCTATAGGGAAGAGCAGGAACCTCAGCAGCGGAACAGGTTGGTTTAAAGTTACAGCTTCTGATATGTTCCTGTAACCTCTCTTCCATATACAGTTGCCTAAGAAACCAGTGTAACATCACTGTGCAACTGCGGCTGTCATCTGATGCCAGGTACCTATACTTACTATTATTGGTCTTGGTAACTCAGGATTGCAGTGGGCCATTTACACTCAAGAACATAACATTTTGGTCATGTGCCAGCTCAGTGCAGCCTGCTCTCCCCACGGCTGATGTCCCACCGCAGCTCATGCCACTCTGCCCTTCTTCTGTGGTCCCAGCACTACTGCTCATTCAATCCCCTCAAACACCACCCAAACTAACTAGTTGAAGAAGTGACCAGACTTTGCCTGGCTCTGCCACGCGTTGGGACCTGCTGGAGCAAGGGAGGAACATGTGCGCAGGACCAGCTGCTGGACTATGTGCGCAGCTGCAAAACTGTGTCCTGGCTGAGTTGCTCCTGAAGCGCAAGACCTCAGCTCTGCTCTAGTACTTGTCTGGAAGCTTCAAGGAGATTGCCTCTTTTAAGGTGTCAGAAATTGCTCTTAATATCCAACACTAAGGTCTCTCGTTCCTCCATTGTTGATTGCTGCTGTTTTACACAGAATTTTATAAGAGTATTTTCCCAGCGCTATATAATCAAACGTCTTGGTGCAACCATTCCCATTTATTGCATTCTGACTGAAAGGGAGTTTGAAAAATGGATAGGAACAAAAGCACTTTCTGAACATTTTCAGACAGATCAGAAGACAGTACAGTGAGCCTAGGACAAGTACAGTAGCTTTTCCTGGTACCCTTCAGCGGGCAAGGTTTTCCTTTCTCCACAGCATTCACCCTGGCTTCCCCCTGCCACTCTCCCCCTGGAGACCAGCCTTCTCAGAACTAAAGGAAGAAGTTCCATTTGTCCTTATTTCTCATGCCCTTTGGTCAGCTTTTGTGCCCCTTTCTCTGCTTTCAGCATGGAGCTGTTGATCCACCAGAAAGAGAACCACAGTGAGTGTTTCTCTAAACAGACCAGACTGGAACAACACCTCCCATATAACCCTCAGTTTCTAAAAAAGCCCAGTTTAGCTCTGCTGCTAGGTTATAATACCACAACATGAACAAACACAACAGCAGCACTGGAAACCACCTCAGTCTTTCACTGTGCATATGTAGGTTCTCGTAACAGAGCTGGGGCACAGCTGTACACGTGGCCATGTAATTCCCTCCCTGGAGTTTCCTACCAAGTTATTCTGTCTGGAGTATCTGAAGCACACCTCGTGCAAATCCTACGACATGCATGAATCGAGCTCTCTACATGCCTCTTTGCTAGTTTTATGTCCTCTGAACAGCACTCTACCCCACTCCTTTTCATTATGCAGAGATTCAGCAGAGCCATATTGCCCTGACCTCCCTGACTCCTTTACAACTCCCAGAATGAGCATACCCCACCAAACTGAATGTGAGAACCCCACTGTTCTCATATTCAGTTTAATTTGCGTGTGTGTGTGTGTTGTCTCAACACACGTAGGCCTATGTAGCTACTACTAGTCACACAATGGATGGTTGCTGGTTATTTCCCCTCAGGACTGGGGCTAGTTTTTTCTCCTTGAACTGAGAAGTGTTTTCTCTCTCTAAGAGCCCAACTCGTCCCTTGTTAGGAGAACTATCACTTTGTTCATACTTCCCAGGCTTGGTGTGTCGCTACAACAGTGCCACATCATTTAATGTTGAAAAAGGTTTATTCTCAACACAACTTTTTATCAATCAAATTCTACCTTCTACAGAACCTGAAACAGCTATGGTAAGCAAATAAATCTGTCAAATCGGCTAGTGAGATGACATGGGACAGTGAGTTTGATACCCCTGCTGCAGAGATATATACATATATATACACACACATACACACACATATATATAGCACTGTGACACCACATTTAGTGGCACGGCTACATGTGGATCAGCATAAAAGCACTGAAGATGAACAGCCTCCAGTGTAGGTGCTTCCCATGGGTATTACAAAGAGGACATATGACCAATGGAAAATATTGAGAATGACTGTACAGAAACCATAATATGACAGTTTAAGTGTTTGCATGGTCACTTAATAGAATAATTTTGCGTATTCCTTCCTAACTAATAATATACTGCATTAGCATCTTTGTACATCGTGTACTGTTTTCCCCTCTCTTTACAAGCCAGCTTTGCCTTATGTTTGTCTTTCCCCACCTCCGGGAAGCGATAAGCACATGCCTGTGTTTCTCCAATTGCCCTCATACTATCTTTCATTGCACTTCTGACTGCTGCTGAAAAAATAAAAAAAATGCTGAGAGTTGATTTGACATTTAAAGTATTTTTCTATTACATGTTTACAGAATAAATGTTCTAAAAGAAAATACGCTTCACATTTACCTGAAATAACTATTTTCCTTCTTTTTTGTTGGAGAGAAGCATAAGAAAATGTAAAAGCTACAATCCTAAGTACTAAGTGTAAACAGCTAGATTTAAAAAAATTAATGTGCCCATTTCATGCTTTTCGGATAGCTGCATAAATGGCTTCGGTAGTGTTTTCAAGGATTAGATTATGTTGATTTTTATTAATTTATCTTAACATTATGAAAGTCTATCCAGTTCACCCAAAACTGTTCTAGCAGGATAGAAATATTAACATAGATAGTCATTATTTGCTGACCAGAATATGAAGAAGGAAAAGACTGGGGGCAGGGGGAGGAGGAGGACCAAAAAGCCCTAATCTTGATTAGATAAGGCTTTAAAAGAAAAACTATAGGTTCCTCAAATAGCAGTATTCTGCATTATAATATAACCAAACTGGTTACATAAGGGCTACCCTGCCCTGTCAGCCATGTAAGATGCATTAAGAATAATACGAATAATATGGGCCAGGATCACCGAGTAGGTGACGGGAGATCCCATCCAGCCCAGACATGAACTGCAGTTTCTCAGAGGCCCCTTTGGCAAGAGGCCCCTGTCCCATGGCCCGACGGAGGGCAGTGGTGGAAGCCGCGGGGCCCAGCTTTACACAAAAGCGAGGACATGGCACAGGAGGGAGACGGATGGCGACCCCATAATGCTGCCTTCGGCAGCTCAGTTCAGAAGAGCGCAGGGAGGCACAGGGCATAACCTGTGCTGGATCTGTAGCAATGACTCATTCTGCAACTAACCCATTTTTAAAGGCAAATAACACCTCTAGACCTTTCTGTTAAACTAGCAGTGGTGGTTATAAAAGCTCCAGTCTCCCTATTCTAAATTCAGTTATGTGGGAACCATGGAAACAAAAGCAACCACAGCTGCTGTTGGTACAAACCAGTTAGCACACTGGTGACTTTATCTAAAAGGCCTATTTGACAAGCAAGCCCCTTACTGATACACTTCATAAAACAAGAGAGGACCATGAAAATGAACAATGCTGAATACTTCTGACTTTGCAAGTATGCAGTATGCACTTTCTGCAAGAGGATACTAGGTACATGACTAATTTTATCTTAAAGCCCGTTAATGCGCATTTTGCACAGACATACACCCATACACGCACAAGCTGTGTCTTATAAAGCTGGATGGGGTATAAACAGATGCAACTACAATATGCAGCATTCTTAATCATACTCCATTGACAAAGATCTTCAACATGTTTAAAACAATGTATGAAAAATGATTCTCAAAACAAAAGAAATCTAAAAGCAAATTTTGTTTTTATTCTGTCTGACCTTGACCAGGCATTGTGTCAGAGGAGGTGGGGAGCTGCCACAGTGAAGCAACAGGACCGGTTAACCCTTTGGGAGCATGATGTTTTTGACAGCTGGGACCACTCTGACCACTTCTCATTAACAGCTAAGCCACAAAAAGGTTCCCAAACTAACTACATGGGGACATTACACCACACTGCATCCTAGAATGCTCTTAAAAAGCCACTGATTCATACTCAATTGAGAAATGTTTTCAATATGCAGCATGGTTTGTACATAAAATATAGCATAAAACAAAGGTTTTATATTTTTCAGTCACCAGATAACCACTGGATAACACTGGTCTCTATACAGCTGCACTGTCACCAGCAGCATCATTTCCTCATCAACCCCCAGTCTTCATCCTCAACCAGATTAGCCAGGTAGCTGGTTGTTCTTCCCACTGAAGCAAAAAAAGCTTGTTTGCAATGACATATGTCTGTAAAGCTTTCATGCAGCAGACTTGGTTAAATTTTCCGGCTCAAAGGTTGGAAAGAAATTATTTTGAATTTTTCACCCCATATTTAGATTTCCACACAGCCAATTTAATTCTGGATTCTCCAATCACAAGAGCGATCCCAATAGAGCCTCCTTTTTCAAAGAAACAAAAATGAAGAAAATGAGATGGTCTTTTCCTTCAGATTAAATCATTCTTCCTCAGCTCTTATCCATTTAATGCTGCAGCACTCTCCCCATCCCTCAGACATACCCCTTATCATCTGAGTAGCGCATTCATTACAGTGTTTGCAGCTACAGACCATTGACAGATGTGATCTTATCAATTAACACATTCAAGTGAAACTGCCTCTTTCTCTGCATCTTTCAGTGGCCTGAATTCAGCAATGCTGACAGACCTAACCTGACTTGCTGCTGGCCTCAAGGATGATCCCACAGAGGATGTAGATGCGTCCCCTCCAGCACCTTTAGCCCCTTTGCAAACAGGCTAGAGCCGCTGCTTTTAACTAATAACCTACCACAAAGGGAATGCGAGTACCGTGGATACAACAATAAGATAACAAGCCTTATTCTAAACAGAAAAAGGATGAAAGTGGGATTCATTTACTTACATGAAGATTCAGTGCCAAACATGGCTGGCCCCAGATGCTGCTATTTTAAAAAGGAAAGAAGAAAAAACAGTGGAAGACAGAGGGAGTGTATGAGAGTAGGGATGAGGCTGCTACACAGCAGGGGTCATGAAGCCAGACAATGCAGTCCAAGCTCTCCAAGCTGCCAGACTCTCCTCTCCTCTCCTCTCTTCTCTTTTCCCCTCCTCTGCTTCACACTGCAGACAGCTTTTCCTTGCAACCAAAGGTCCTTCTTCACGAAGCAAAAGGCAGGAGCTTCTGGTTTAAATCCAAGAGATAAGGGAAGGCCAGCGTCCCTTCCGTGATACAGTGAGGCATAAATAGGTAGCGGACACCAGATACTGCAATCCACAGCCCCTGCTCTCAGTAAGACAATAGCATAGCTTATGCATACACTGGATGACGTCAGGACACTGCAAAGACTGACTGCTGTTAACCAGAGGCTCAGAGGGGGCTTGAATAGAGCAGAGCAATTCAAATGGGAATTCCTTTGTCACAAAATGCAGAAGACAAAGAACCAGACATACATTTCCCTCCGTGATGATAAAATCCTCATCCATGCTTTAACACTAGCACTAAAATTTCTGTGTTGAATTCACACTTCTCTTCTCAGCTGCACAAGATGCAAAGTGTTTCTTTGCAAACACATCATGCAGAATAAATTTCTGGGACAAATGTCCCAGTAGATGCTAAGTATGGCATTTTCAATAAAGAATAACCATGAATTCCTACCGCTAACTCTCGTTATTTTTCAAAGAAAGATTTAAATCCTGGGCCACTGTTACACATTTGCACATCAGAGTGCTACGCAAGTGTTTTAATTTCTAATACTTATTGTCAAAATACACTGTAGCAATGATCTAACCACATTCAAGAAGTCACATACTCAAATAAAAAGAAAACCCGCAAACTACGCTGATCTCAGTGATATAAAGGCATCCTAGCAATCAAAGAAATATTTTCCTTTATTTTTATCCTTGTAAACCATTTAAATGTAGTGTTTCTTAGCCCCTGCAAATGTATTTCTGAGTTTACTGGGTGCATTTTTTCATGACACTCAGTAATTAAAAGATGTTAAAGCGTAGAAACAAAGACCTAAGCTGACTCGTTCCAGTCCTACTGCAGACAAAAGGAATTTTGTGTGTGTGTGTGTGGGGGGGGTGAAGTCAAGCTCATCTCTTGTGCTAGCAAGAGCAGTGAAGCAGTAAGTTGATTCTGAAGCTAGTAGACATTAGGGGTCATCTGTAAGAATGGCTATTTGGAGGGAGCAAAAATTGGAACATTTTTACTAAGTCTCACTGAGCAAGTGCATGCAGCTACAAACGCGACAAAGACTGAAAAGTGCTGCTAGTGAACAAGGAGAAAGGAAATGCCTGAGTCCATTAAATAAAGCACTTAACAAAACAAAACAATAACAACAAAAACCCATACACAACAACCCAGAAACTCATTTCTGATCTTTTGCAGATTAACCATTACCAAACACTCCTACTGCTCTGTTTGCTAAGGATTTTTCTACTGTTTGTAAAATATGCAATGTCACTGTGATCAGCAGGCTGGAAAAAAGAGCAATGTTTTGCACTTGCAGAACCTTCCACGGGAGGATCTCAACATGCCAAATCACTGCGGAACCAATTAGCCAGCAGCCTGGGACACTGGTGGCCCACGAGCAGATGGGAAAGCCACATAAAACTCCCAGGCGTCAACCCTCCTCTGCCTTGCCAGCTCCCTCGTTCTTAGGGAGCCAGAACGTAGCCCCAAACTCACATAACAACTGTGCCCAGCAGTGTCAATATGGACCCTCTACACCCCTGGGCCACAGCTATAGTTAGGAAAGGGTGCGGGGCGAAGATCAAGAGGCTCTACACAGCCTGATCTCCTCCCTGTCTGCCCTGCCCTGGTGCAGAGAACTGAAGTGGCACCTACAGTGCGCACTGGGCTCCTCCGACAGTAACTTCTGTTGGGCCAAAACATGGCCCATCTCTGCTTTTAATCCCCCAGTCAAACTGACTCCGTATTCTGTACACAGCACGAGAATACTTAGCACCACCAGCTGTCAGGAACATTTAAACATATTTCATCTCTGGAACAAGGCCATAGGAGAGCCCATGCCCTGGCGTGAGACATCTCATAACATGCTCTGTAATAAGCAGCTTCTATTCTCTCCATTGGCAGACAGGACACTGGGACACTGTGATTCAAATCAACCCTTAAGTGATGACTAACCTGTTTAATGATAATAAATATTTCTAGTCACGTGGCTGGGTGCTCAGCACCACGTTCAAATTCTTTTTGATCAAATGCTACAATGGAAGTGGCACAAAACCTCTGTCCTGACGGTCATTGTCAAAAGTTTTGCTATTCAAGAGGCTGAACTAGTTATTCTGACAATTTAGAACTATAAACACTGCCTTCAGCTGCTAACAGCTTGACAAAAAGCTGTAGTGCACAGAGCAAACCTAAGCAACTGAGGCGAGCTCTCACAGGAACCGTGTCTGCTATGTACAGGTAAGTCTCCCAGCACCTTTAAGCACAAATTGCTGGAACAAAACCCCTAGTGTTAATGTGCAACGGCTTAAGAATAATTTTTGCACTGATGAGCAAATTTGAACTTTCTACAGCATTGTTTCCAAGGAAAATGCAAAACTAGGGAGCCTTACAATGACATCCTTTAAGGTGTCAAAGCCCAGACCCTCTGCTAAGTTCTCATTATACAGACGCACATATTTCGTTGAAAAGCCCACACAGCCCATGCAGGATCTGGGTCTCATAATCTGGTATCTGATATTTCATAATAGTCTATTTCATTAATGTTATTTTTGCTCATTCAGAGTTTTTGCATTGTAGAGAAATTGACTCTTGAAAGACTCCCTCCGAAATTCTTCAAGAGGTCTATCCAAAACACTTAGTAAAATGACTTACAGAAAGGATTAAAACCTGTTTCCTATCTGCTACTTTTGCAGGAGCATAATCTTATAGTTAGATTTAGCTGGCTAGTAGAATTAAGAATTTCTGTTCTCTGTTTTGAGTTTTGCCACTGGTTTATTCTACAGAGATGGGCAATCTCTTCATATGACAAAGTTTCTTACACAGCTGTTCAGATAACATAAATTAGTGTATAGAGAATGTCAGGTAGTATCTCCTGTAAATCTCAGCATTGTTATGATTTGCTCACAATATGCACAAAAAACTGCTCAAGTAATAGATTCACTTACAATATTAACTTCAATACATTTCTCTACAAGCAAGCATGAAATAGTTAAAGGAACAAAATATATGTGGTATTCAAATCTCTGCTATACCTTCACATTTTCAGGAGAAAAGGATGTGCTCCTCTATCATTGCTAGTCTTCAAGTAGATATTTCCTTGATTTCCCTCTCAAGAAGGGGCCTAATCAAAGTTTATAGATACCCGATGGTAGGGTGTAAAGAGGATAGAGCCAGACTCTTCTCAGTGGTGCCCAGGATGAAAGGAAACAGGCACAAATTTAATCAGAGGAAATTCCATCTGACCCCAAGAAAACACTTCTTCACTGTGAGGTGACTGAACACTGGAACAGGTTGTTCAGAGAGGCTATGAAGTCTCCCTCCTTGGAGATATTCAAAAGCTGTGTGGACATGGTCCCGGGCAGCCTGCTCTAGTGGAGCAGGGGGATTGGACCAGATAATCTTCAGAGGTGCCTTCCAACCCAACTATTCCGTGATTCTGTAATTTTTTTTTTTTTGGTGATAAAAGTATATGTTTTGTTTTGCCTGCATAGATATCTAAACCATAGTACAAATTTTAATATAGAAGTTGTATAATGAAATATTAAAATTTTGTACAGAGGAATTTCTGTAATAGAATAATTTCTCTCAAGGAAAACTGTGCAAGCAGGAAATTGTGACCTACCAACAGAGGCAGACTTGTATACATGCTTTATGCTGACCTATAACAACAGAAATCTTTATTCTCTCTCATCACTAGATAAATATTTCATTCTGAGTTAACACTCCTTTTCCACAGTAGAAACTGTGGGAAAGAAAAATGAATCCATTAAACCTGTGAGGTTCTCCTGTTATATTGGAATGACATGCTCATCCCAAGAAGGGAAGTCTAACCAACCTCCTACCACGGTAAGGAAACTGACTCGACACAGTCAAATCTCCAGAGGGAAAGGAGAGGATAATCTTCAAAGTTGGGCAGGGATTTTTATTTATCTATTTAAACTTTGCCTTATTCTCCATGTCCCCTGTTCTGTAAGGGCAGTGAAGGTTTTTTTAAGGCATGTTTGGTGCTATTGGTAATCTCTAAGTGATTGTGCAGTAAACAGTGTGATTCAGAAACTAACAAAAGGAATTTATTTTGCCTACAATAGTGCTATTTCCCACTTAAAGGTGTGGAAAGCTTCCAGACTTCCAATCACACATGATGTGGGGATCTCCAGCTTCTATAGTTTTGTTGTCTCTGGCAACAGCTGACACAAATTATTGATCTGCATGACAGCAACCAAATAAAATACTGCAGGGGCCTTTTTTTCAGACACTAGAGAACAGTGAAGGGAAATAGCACTTACTATTAAGCTGGAGCTCCTTGATTTTACACTTTTTCTGGCTCAATTCTCCTCAACTTCACTGACCTTTAACTAACTTTAACAAATGCTACTGATGAAAAATGTTGAAATGATGATCATATCCAGGAGAATCTACAGCGAGAGCAAAACTTTAGATTCTCCTCTCACAAGATCATGTGTTTACATTCAGAATAACCCCTCTCCCCCAAAAAAACAAACCACAAAGCCTACACTGATGCTATAAAGTTGAGCCCCCCCCAGACACTGGCACATACTTACACAACCGCATGATATTTTTCCACCAGGCTTTCCATCTCCCTCACTGAACAGAGACAAAATCTCCAAAGTAGCATCTCTCTGTGTCATAAACTGGGAGTCGTGGCCCAGAGAAGAGCTAGCACAGATGGAAGGAGGGAGGGAAGCCCCGAGGATGGTTTCCCAGGCAGTACCGCTAAGGAGGGGCACAGCGAGAAGCAGCAGGGCCTGTTCTAAAAAGGTCCCACAGTGTCCACCAACTTGGATGATACAGAAACAAAAGTGAAGGAGAGTAATGTTTCATTGTAAGGAAATGCCTGAGATGTCAAGCATGGGAACCTTCCCGTTGCCCAGGCCAGCCAGCTTGGAGCTGAGAAACCAGAACTCATGAGGCTGCCTGGAGCTTGGCTGGCCAGCAGCAAGGAAGAAGAATGCCCAAGGAATGAGCTAGTTGGGGGCCGGGAACACATCCCGCGGTGATATGGTGGCCTGCCAGGGCAGGCAAGCAGCTCAGAAACAAAGGCAGGGGACTGGGCTTGCAGGAGAGTAGAAAATATCCCTGAGTAGCAG